AAAACTCTACAACAAAGATTTTTACCATATAATGAAGTATGAAATGCCACACTTTGGTTTAGAAAAGAGGCACTATTGCAAACATTTGTTGGATAATGGAGCACACAATTTTTTTTTAGAAGAAAACCAACCTGTACTTTAGACATTACAGTGAAGCATTTGATTGTTTAGATCATGGAGCGATCTTAAAGAGATGGATGTGTCACAGCATTTGATTGTCCTGTTGTGTAACCTGTACTCAGGACAAGAGGTTATCATCAGGCCAGAATATAGAGAACTGGAATAGATTGCAGTTGACAAGGGAGACAGGCAAGGCTGCATTTTATCATCCTATCTATTTAACTTGTAACTCATATGCTGAATATATCATATGTAAAGCAGGTTTAGAATCAGAACAGAGAGGTGTAAAACTCGGGGAGGGAGAAATAAAAATTTAAGATATGCAGATGACCTCATACTATTAGCAGAAAATAGCAAAGACTTGTAACAATTTTTGAATAAAAGCAAGGAAGAAAGTGCAAAGTCTGGTTTATATTTGAAGATTAAGAAAACAACAACAATACCCACAGATGGTTTACATAACCTTAAAGTAGATGAAGAAGACATTGAAATAGTTCAAGATTGTGTACCTTGGCTCAATAATTAATAATATCAGATACTACAATAAAAAAAAAAATCAGAAGAAGACTTTGGCCTGAAGTGGACAGGCCAAAAGTGCTGGCTTTGGGGCACAGTGGGAGCATGGTGTCTAGAAGACGCATGCCCCAAACACAGACAGAAGCCACATGGAGAGCACATCAACCTGGAAAAGCTGGTACAAAAAGGAGCGTCAATAAGCTGCTCCTTCCAGCAACCAGGTTGAGGACTGCGGAGGTGGCCCAGATCAGGACTGGGCCTATGTGGTCACCGTGGTCCTGCACCAATCAGGGAGGGAGCAGCCTCTGGCCTCTCCTTTTCCTCCATCTGCATGACCCCTTTGAAGTACAGCTATGAAGGAACTAGACAAGATCCTAAGTGTAAAGATATGTCCATGTCATTGTATTTCTGATTTCTATGTATGGTTGTGAAAGTTGGGCAGTGAAGAAAGCTGATAGGAAGAAAAGCAGTTCATTTGAAATGTGGTGCTAGAGAAGAATTCTACAGATATGGTAGACTGCTAAAAGGACAAATCAATTGGTCTTAGGGCAAATCAAACATGAACTCTTCTGAGAAGCCAAGATGACTAAACTGAGAGTGTTGTTCTTTGGCCATATCGTGAGAAGACATGACTCACTAGAAAAGACAATGATGCTTGTTAAGTTAGAAGACAATAGGAAAAGAGAAAGGCCACATTACAGATGAAAAGACTCAGGAATCCACAGACTTGAGCAGGGCTGATGATAGTGTGACTTGATGGCAGTTAACAACAATAGAAAATATTCATTACTATCAAAATTTAACCATGTTTTAACAAAAACATTTTCTTATTCCATATATATAATTTTTATTCCCTTGTTACTTCAAAAAAGTGATATAGTACAGTTAGCATTTTTGTTGTTTGTAACATGCTCATTACAAGATCATGTTCTTTTGAAAAAAAAGATTTTTGTTCTTGGTTTCAATATGTTATAATAAATACTTGATTTGAAAACATCTGGCATGTACTGCTTTTGCTTTAGTCATTTTTCTTTAAAAAAAAAATATGAGGTTGTAACCTGAAGTTAAATAATTTATTCTATCATTTGAGATGTTGGATATTCAGTCAAAATTCTGAGCAACATACTGACTTTTATTTTGGAGCGGTCCAAAAGGGTGAGGAACATGGTTTCTCAATTGTGCCACCAATTGCATTGCAACGGATACCTATTTGTTACCTAGTGAGTCTCTTTCTATTCTTTTTCTACCAACTGGAGGTGGCTTTGAGATGCTTGGGATGCTTTCCAGCAAAGCCGATTTTTTAAAGATTGTATAAATATCTATATAATTAATTGTTTTACTACAAACTTTCATTATTCACTGTGGCTTCTTATTTTAATGCAACTGCTTTACTGTTGTCTTGAGACTGATAAATGGCATAAGCTAATTAGTCACTCTAACTAAATATGCACACCTGGCATACCTTAGAAGATAAATTAAGCAAGAAGAAATAGAAACCAGCAATCATATTGTGGAACATTTTCTCCTCTCTTTTGGTGTTAACGCAGGTATAGTTCATAAGAGTTTATCACACAGGAGGATTACCATATGTAAATCACCATTAAATTGTGCAAAATCATGCAAAACCTGTGATCGGCATTCACACTGACACACACTTCTCCCGTCTGTAAAGTCATGCAGACATCCCCACTTGATTGTACCATCAATAAAGTGTTCATGGAGCTACCATTTGGCAATAATAGAAGTTATTGCCAAATGGCAGCTCCAAGGATGCTTTACTGAGGGGAGAAGCAAATGGGGGTGCCTCCATGATGCTCTACAGATGGGAGAAGCACATGTTGGTGTGAGCAGCAATCATGGGTTTTTTATTATTTGCATTATTTAATGGTGATTTATACACGGTAAGCCTCCCTGTGTGATAAACTCCATAGTCATCACTAAATGGCTACAGGATAATGGTTATAAATATACCTATTGTTTTCATGCATGCTTAGTGGCTGCAGCTCTTGCACACATCTCATGGTACAGCACACACTACTTGTTATAGTACACACTACTTGTGGGGCTTTTGACTGCTAAGAAAAGTGACTCTTTGGGTATCCAGGCACTAATGGCTGGTGGTTCCCACTTCAGTGGGGTGGTGAATCTACTCCAGTTTTAAGCCCAAATTTTAAAGGAATGATGGTATTATTATGAACCCATTCACAAAATAGGGTTAGCAACATGGAAAGCTCTTTTAAAATACAGACTAAAAAACTAGCTTACATAGGACGTTATCACACAGGGCAAATCTGCTGGTTAATCCACACAAATCCCAAACAAAAGCTGGATTTGTGCCTCACGTTTTCACATGACATCACACAGAAACTGGACAGAAACTGGGCAGAAACTGGTGTTATCCGAGATCTTTTGAAATTTGGTTGTTTTGAGGAAATGCATTTGCAAAATTACAGTAATTTCGCATTTACCATAATGTGAAAAGCAAATGCGCATTTGGGAGCATTTCCCTGAATTTCCCATGTTTCCACGGCGTGCATTCCTCTATCTGCACATGTGCAAGAAGATCATTTCTAGTACATTTACGGGTTTTTCTCACTTGTGTGTGCATGTTAAATGTACTTAGCCATTTGCAGAATCAAGTTTTATTTTCAGTTTATTTTTGGAATACCTCATTTCCACTTTATTATCACTTTCTGGCCCACGTGTGATAACGTCCACACACACTGCACAATTCTATAGAATCCTGAGATTTGTGGTGTGATGAGGTACTTCAAATTCTCTAGTGAACTCCTCTGAACTATTATAAGACGAGTATATAATCTTATATAAGATTATGTAAGAGCATTAGCGCTCTTTAGCACAGATGTCTAAGTACCTCACGAAACTATAAATCTCAAGATTCCGTCAAATGGAGTAATGTCAGCTACTATTGGTGACTGGTGAAGACCTTTTTTTATTCTTCCAGAATTTTTAGACTTCTCTCTCTCTCTCTCCTTCTCTCTCTCTCTCTGCATACAATTAAAGCTTAAATATTTGTTTAATGAATTTCTGAAAGAGCTCTGGCTAGTTGGTGATAGAGAAATGCAATAAGTAAATAAAATACAACATTTTCAGACATTTATAGAAGGCATCATAATTCATAAGTATGCTAACCACTAATGACTTGTGAAAGCAAAAGTTCTTCACAATCAGAGTTCTGTCCTGATAGAACTTGCAACTAAAGATTTCCCAAAAGTTTGAACAATAACCCCAGCTATAAGTGTTTGAAAGGACGCAGTGGCCTAGTGGTTAAGATGCTAACTCTGACAATTGCAAGGTCAATAGGTCAGCAGTTCAAGACTCAAGTTCTGCATGATGGGGTGAGCTCCTGTCACTAGTCCCAGCTTCTGCCAACCTAGCAGTTCAGAAACATGTAAAAGTGGAAGCAGACAAACAGGTACCACTACAGTGGGAAGGTAACAGCATTCAGTGCAGTCATGCTGACCACATGACCATTGGAGTAGCTTCCTTGGCTTATTACTGTGTTTCCCCAAAAATAAGACATACCCATAAAATAAGCTGTAGCAGGATTTCTAAGCATTTGCGCAATATAAGCCATACCCCGAAAATAAAACATAGTGATAGGCATGGCTATGCAGCATACCAGTCCAGAGCGGTAAAGAAAACGGGCAGCCCTTCTCTTCTGTCTCCTCATTCTGTGCCTGTTGCAAGCTGAGGCATAGAGGGAGTAAAAGTAAAAGTCTCCTCAGTGAAGTGAGGAGCAGGACGCTCTGCTTTAGGTATTGTGTGTCCTCAGGGGAAAGATGTAAAGCTGTGCCATTTTACTCAGCACTGTGGGTCTCTCTCCCCCAGCATCAACCAAACAGGAGATTTATAATGATGTTCCAGAAGAAGACGACTTAACTATATTTGAATAAATGTCGATTGTTGTACCATACTTAATAAAAATAAGACATCCCCTGAAAATAAGCCATAGTGTGTCTTCTTGAGGAAAAATAAATATAAGGCAGTGTCTTATTTTCAAGGAAACATGGTAATGGAGAGAAGCACTGCCCTCTACAGTTAGACACAATTAGATGATCTTGTCAAAGGGGAAAATTGTTACCTTTTATATGTGTATATATGGTAGCTCTACACAACTTGTGACTCACTAATCCAAATACAGCTCATCAGTCACAGTTTGTGTCCAGCTGTGGACTTGACATGTTGTTGTTTTGTGCCTTCAAGTTCTTTCTAACTCATGATGAACCTAAGCCAAACCTATTACGAGGTTTTCTTGGCAAGTTTCTTCAGAGGGGTTTGCCATTGTCATCTTCTGAGGCTGAGGGAGTGTGACTTGCCCAAGGTCACCCAGTGGGTTTATATAGCCAAGCCAGGATTCGAACCCGGGTCTCTAGAGTCACAGTCCAGCACTCAAAACCACAACACCACACTGGCTCTGTGACATGGGCTTGATATACATCCTGTTTTTTTGTTTTTTTTTGTGTGGTTCTGAGAAAGCAGAAAAAATTTAAAACAGAGATTACCAAGCTACCAGAGGCTTTAAGGCAAGAATCTGTCTCATTGTTCCATGTGTTTTACTCATTTAATGTTTGAAAAAGTATTAGTACTTCTTAGATTACACCCTCTGTTGGTTTATTTGGTTTGTAATTGGTTTTTTACTTTAGTTTATATTCTGTTGTTTAAAACTTTTTATGTGTTATACATTATGTTTTACTATGATTTCAATTATATGGTTGTAAACTTTATTTCTGTGAATCTCTCAGAGAGCTTTGGCTATTAGGCAATCTATAAGTGTAATAAAGTAAACATCTTAAACTCCCAGGTCATCCATTTCTAAAGGCTCATTTTCTTATGCCTCAGAGAGATGTCTTTTCCTCCCTTTCCCCAACCTTAAAGACATCACAACAATAGGTTTCATTCTTCCTCCACTAGATCTGCTAATTTCACCTGATACTCAAGATGCACTCAACAGGCATATATATATGACACTGTACACTGTAAAATTACCTCCCTCTCCCCATACACACACACAGACACAATTGTACTGGTTTTCTGCCTTCAGAGATATATTTTTTTCTGTATAGTCTGCACTGAACTGGCAGACAGAGAGAGCTCATGCAGATTGGTCTAAAGCTTTAATATTTGGCAGGAGCTGTATCTAAAGTTACTGGGATTTTTTTTTTTTTAAAAAATATCCATACATCTTACCTCCTGTCCCAGACTATTTCTCATGAATTTTCAGGAATAGCTCTGAGTTTTGAACCCAAACTAGGTTTTCCACTCCCTGTCCTGGAAGTTTCCAAGACAGACAGGGGTACATCCCCATGCTGTATCCATTGTCTCAGTTCCTTCCATACTCCTGATAACATAAATGGGGGTATGGCCTTTGCCATGGAAACTTTCCTCAGATTTTTCTTCTCTCATTACAGTTCAAGTTACCAGGTAAATAGTTCCTCTGTGCTGCATTGTGTTCAGAGAACTAACTTTTCCTTTTCCTTTTCTTTTTGACTTTCTGAAAGTATAGTGCTAAAGTAGTATAGTACTTTATCATTATGGCACTTTTACACAACGACTATAAAGATTTTTTAAAATAAAATAAAATAAAAGTTCACAAGGGGAGAGAAACTGGAGAGCTGAATTCAAGGAGAGGAGGAGAAAGAGGAGGAGGGAAGGAAATCCCTTCCATACAGTAGTTTAACCATACCTCAAGCAGAAATAAAAGAGGGGATTTAACCCCAGTATGGTTAGGGTATGATGGAAGCAGGAGTGGGATCAGCCATTAACAGATATCATGAGGCATGCAATCTAGAAACAAATCATCAAACCTGCTGGCTCATCTGGATTTAATATAAAAAAAAAGGAAGGATCAACTGCGTGCCCTCCTTGCCTGGTGGCTATACTTAGGTAAAGGTACTGGTATTTCCCATTGACAATGTTGTCAAGTCATGCCCGATGTACAGGGCAGTGCTCCTCTCTGTTACAAAGCTGAAGAGCCAGCATTGTCAGAGACTACTCCATGGTCATGTGGCCAGCATGATTGCACAGAACACTGTTTACCTTACAACCAAAGTGGTACCTATTTATCTACTTGCATGTGCATGCTTTCAAACTTCTAGGTTGGCAGAAGCTGGGACTAGTGATGGGAGCTCACCCCATCATGCAGCACCTGGGCCTTGAACTGCCAACCTGCTGATCTTGCAATCAGCAGAGTCAGCATCTTAATCACTTGAGCCACTGCATCCCCAGGTACATAACTCACCTTGTCTTGCCAGCCCTATGACCAAGTGCATTGCTGAAGAAATTCAAGACTGAAAGGTCAGCAAGAAAGGTCATGGCCTCACTTTTGGGGAGATAAGGAAGGTATTTTGATACTGACTATCTTCAGAAGGGCCAAACAGTTAATGCAGAATACTACTCTAACTTGCTGTGCTGATTAAAAGAGGCATTGAAGAAAAATGGTGGGAGCAGGTGCAGAAAGGTTTCTTTTTGCAGGACGATGCACATTTTCACAGTTCTGGCAAGACCATGGATGAATATGGGGTTTGCTTGCATAGACCATCCACCCTATTCAACTGTCAGGCATAACTTGACCACAGGTCTTCTTTCAAACCAAAAAGACAGATCCAAGACTCATAGGGCTGATGCGGACCAGCCTAAAGGGCTGGCCTGGGGGTGGAGTTGGGGCAGACTGATCACGCAGCATGCGACATTAGGGCACCCCGCTGGTGTAGCGTGCACACACACTGTGCCAAAGGGGTGCAAAAGAGCCATGGTGGTGGCTCTAAGGGTGGCTTTTTGCCACCCAAAAATGAGTGGCATTTGCCAGCTCTTTTTGGAGCAGCAAAAAGGAGGATTGGGGCTGTGGCATTTGGTTGCCACAGCCCCGATCTGGCACTTCTAGGGGCAGCACAGAGCCACCCCTTAAGAGCCATCTGCATCAGTCCAGTCAAAAGGACAGCTTTTATTAAAGTAAAGAAAACAATAACAGGCAGTTCCATGACTTCTTTGTCTGGACTAAAGTTATGGTACATTTAGGCACTTTTATAAGCAAACAATAAGATCCTTCCCCTAACGTTTGTATAAATAAATGATTGGTCATGGTTTCCTGCACCTTGCCTATTGGTATGGTGTAATGTTTAACCAGGTGTGTGTCTGGCTTTTGGGAAGAACGGTGTGAATCCATAGCCTTCTCACCAGTACTAGACATAGCAATCTTGAACCAGTGATATGTAGTTCCTTTCGTACTCTTTTTCTTAACCATCCCTCCCCCCTCACATTGTGGACTGTCCATATATATAGGGACTAAAACAAAACATCATGAAACCTATTTAACATGATAATAATTCAAAACACATTGGTAATATCAAATCCTCTACTGACTATGTGATACACATATGTAGCAGGCTCTAACCTCCCCCTTAATTAAACCTCTTTCTGTAGCTAAGGTGGAAGCATCCCACACATAGCACAGTCTTCCTAGCACAATTAGAAGTGCATTAACCCTTGCCAAGAAAGCCCAGGGTTTATGCAGCCCCAATTAACTAAACCAGGGGTAGGCAACCTTTCCCCTTTAAGGGCCGAGTGACTTCAGCTCCCAGAATCCCAGGAGCTATTGGCCAACATGGGACTATTGGCCAACATGGCTGAGGCTTCTGGGAGCTGAAGTCCCTCGGCCCTTAAAGGGGAAATGTTGCCTACCCCTGAACTAAACTATCAATCCCATCTCCAGCTCCAATCAAATATGTGGCAGAAAAACATCAATCAGATGCAAATTCTTTATTTATTGTGGGTATTTTTAATGAAAAAAAATACATATATGAATGTGTATATATATATATATATATATATATATATATATATATATATATATATATATACATACATACCATTCATTCAAGCGTATATACTTTAGTCTAGAGAATTACAACAATACCAAATTAAACTATCAACTGCTTCCTTTATAAATATATTAAATCATAACCATTTTGTTTAATTAACATTAGTAGTGAGGTTTTTTGAAGTATTGTCTTAATTAAGTTAACTACTCCTCATTAACTTTTGTACCATCAGCTTACTTTCAAACACGTTTTCAAATCAAACGTCCTTATATTTTAAATCTAGTTCAATTAAATCCTATATAGTATTGTATGTTCTATTCCTAACATGCTGTAACATCCAGAAAGTTTTCTATTTTAGCCCATTTCCTGGTATGTTGCATATCCTGTTTGTCATTAATCAGCATTGTCAATTTATCCATAAACATCATGTCCTTTAATTTCTTTTTCCATTCTTCTATTATATACTCATTCTCTTTCTTCCAGTGTCTAGCAAATATTATCCGTGCTGCAGTTATCATGTATAAAACTACCCGTATTTCCTCTTTGTTCAATTTGCCTTTACAATCTTCAGTTATATTCAACAAAAATAATTTCAGATTCAAACCTATTTTGATAGCAAATAATTCTTGTATTATTTTGTGGATTTCCCCCCCCAAATTTTTTTGCTATTATACACGACCACCACATATGAAATAAATCTGCGTCATTTTGCTGGCATTTCCAACATCTTCCTTCTTCTTTTTTTCCTATTTTGGCTAATTTTTTAGGGTGTAAATGCCATCTGTATAACATTTTGTAAAACTTTTCCACTAAATATGCACTTTTAGTAAATTTCACATTTTTGTCCATGTTTTTCCCCATGTTGTTAGGTCTATGTTCTCCCGTAAATCCTGCATCCACTTTATGGTACATTCTTTAATTGTCTCTTCCTCTAATTCAGTATCTAATAACATCTTATACAGTCTTGTTATCATGTGTTTCTCCCCTTTCTCTAAAACTTTTTCTAACTCTTTTTTTCAAGTTCTATTCCTCTCAGTTCTAGATCTTTTTTAAATCTTTCTTTAATCTGAAAGTACCCAAACCAATGTAACTTATGTTACACAGGAAATAAAGAGCTTAAGAACTTTAAGAAACATATAATAAGAGGTGCACTACTTAAAATCTGGCATAAATATAAAGAGTTCTGGTACAAAAAAAATCAGATGCAAATTCTGACAGGCACCCCCCCACCCCATAATTTTTCTCACCCTTTTTTGTGATGTTCAACAAACAAATAAAACACAGCATCTATATATCTATCTATCTATCTATCTATCTATCTATATCTATATCTATATCTATATATATATATGAATTAAACAACAGCACAGCAAATATCTCAACATCAGTTATAAATTCAAAGCAAAATCAATCTTTAACTGCAATCTATATCATAAAACTAAAAATGAAAAATGAAACTTTTTAAAAAAAAATCTAAAAAATTAAGCAACCTTGTTATATCTCCATTAGATTTTAAACATTTAAAAGCACCAAAGTCATTAACCAACAAAACAATAATCATATAAAAAAATCATAAAATCAAAACATGACAATATAA